CGCCCGTCAGAATGGTAGGAAAGGTAACAAATGACAACTAGGCTAATCAGATGTTGCTTTGGGCCCCTAGAAGGGTTGGGCTGCCAGATTTGCACGCTCTTCTGCACTGCTGCGCAGCGCAGATTTAATTTAATTTAATTTTTCACTGGCAGCATAACATAGGAGGCAATATTTTCATGCAAAAATGTCTCGCTTTGCAGGACGATCCATATCATGACAAGCATTACATCCCATAATAAGTCACATAACTTAAACCTGCTGCCTGTAGCAGCTCAGAGTCTGTGTCCTTACCTATCACACCATAGTGCCCGGAAAGACACAGCCGTGGGGTAAAAGGGGCTTTTTTCACAGACATGGGGCCTTCTGTGCTTTTAATGGACCTGCCCTACTTGGAGGTTTTCTGGGCTGAGATTCCTCTTTGGTTCCTTTTTAATAGGGCGAGTTATGACCTTGAAAGACGGGCCAGTCTCCTCACAGAATACAGAGGCATTGCGTTTGGGGAACGGGGGGGTCCGTATGGGAGTCTGGTGGCGGCCCAGGGTCCCCAGCTGCTGAGGAGTGTTTGGGGATGCTGTAGGGGGCGTCGTGAGAAGACTCTGTGGAGGAATCTGCGTGTAAACGAGCACTGGATTAGTAAATGTTTCTGGTGCGTTCTGTGGCTGATGTGCGAAAGCAGGAAGAGCTGTGAAGCCACCCTTATCAACGTTTCCTCAAAGAAGAAAGGAAAACAGCATTGAACTGTGACTGGAGCTGACTGTCAGGCCTTAGAATAACAGTGTCAAGGTCCAACATGCAGCCCGAAACCGGAATTCCCCGCTCCAGGTTTGACCACCAACTTATCTTTCATGCTCAGAACTTACCGGCACGTGTCAGTAGGCGGAAATGGTGACGGCCAGGGCCTCCCTGCCAGCCTCTGGCCTGGAAGGACCCAGAAGGGCAAAAAACAGGAGCTGCTGGCTGAAGTGGACAGGGACCGGAACTGGTGGGAGGGCGTGGGGGGGGGGTAACAATCAATACAGCTTTGGTGGTCTTGCTGCTATCGTTTTTCACCCAGGTCAATGCCCACAGACGGCTGGGGCTGGGGGGCAGTCGTTTGGCATGGAGCACCAATAAAGCCCCCCCCAAGCACAGGAAGTGTTACATTAGGACCGTTAAAGGCTGGTGGGAATCTGCACATGTTGCCTGGAATCCTTCTGGTTTTGGGAGCCATTTTGATTAGCTAACACAAATAATACATCTACCATTCTGAACTCTAAATTAACAGACTATCATAGACACCAAAGCACATGCCCGCTCTCCCGTGTTCTACAGTCGCTCACTGACAACTAACACGGCGCGTTGGGCTAGCCAACAGCGTGCAGCTTAGAAAGGCTAACATGCTAACACGGCGCGTTGGGCTAGCCAACAGCGTGCAGCTTAGAAAGGCTAACATGCTAACACGGCGCGTTGGACTAGCCAACAGCAAGCAGATTAGAAAGGCTAACATGCTAACACGGCGCGTTGGGCTAGCCAACAGCAAGCAGATTAGAAAGGCTAACATGCTAACACGGCGCGTTGGGCTAGCCAACAGCAAGCAGATTAGAAAGGCTAACATGCTAACACGAAACACCCAACAGGGGTGAACATGAAAGTCTTCCCCCTTGAGATACAACCCCCCATAACGCATTATGTAATAACACTGCATTATGTAAAAACTGGGTTTCATAAAGTCCTCCCCCCTTGAGACGCGACCCCTCTAAACCACTGGTCACAGACATGCCGATGCATATTCCCCCCCACACAATGGGCGGAGTTTTGCAGCTTCTTGCCAAAATGGACCAGCATCACTCACATGCTTTGGGGCAGTGTGAGGCTCAGTGGGTTAGGATGCCGTGTCAGTGATCAGAAGGCCATTGGTTCAAATCCCAGGGTCAGCAGAGTGATCCCACCGTTGAGCCCCTGAGCCAGACCCTTAACCCCAAAAGCTCCTGGCACTGTCTGACGCTGCTCTCAAGAAAAGTGTTTCGGATAAATGTGTCTCTGGCCAACCTTGTGCTTTTTGCACACTGACACTTCATGAAAATGGTTTTTCACATAGAGATTTAATCATCAGCATAATCCGTGTGGTGCCGGGATTTTAGCTGTGACATCACTGCTCTTTCTCGCTTCTTTTCTGTCTTTTCTTAGCGACGTCTGTCACCTCAAACACCCGCGTGATGTCAGATTGTCACTGACGCAGGTCCACCTGAACACCAAAGGCCCCCCCCCCCTCGCCCCAGGAAGGAGGAAAATAAAACAGACGAGATCCGAGGAAATGTGGGTTAGTGTGGGTATGTGTGGGTTCCTTAACCAGGTACTAGTCATGCGTAAAGGACCAGTCGGCAGAGAAGTCCGTCCTCTCTCACAGGTGCAGTTGGGGGGTAAGGTTAAAATAAAA